AATATGGTTACGTTATGCATTCATTCGCCGCCACGCTACCCAGTTCATCCTGCAAAATTGTGCAAATGGTATAATATGGTTATGTTATGCATTCATTCGCCGCCACGCTACCCAGTTCATCCTGCAAATTGTGCAAAAATGCAAATGATATTCTGATTGCACAAGTTGTCAGAGGGATACCAATCACCTTCTACAAAACTGGTTCATCTACTTAACTTCTAAGTCTTTTTTCCTAGGTTGCCCTTCGACCGGGTTCTTGGCGTCAGGTGGTTAAGGCTCACAAACCGAGGCATTGATTGGGCCACGCCTGTTGTGAGACTGAAAGACACCCTGGGTGTATATTGGAAATGCCGTTTGGCTCCGAGTATTACCCTAAGGTGAGCCTTCATTGCTTGTCCGGTTTAAGCTTTGCATCTACTGTAGGCAACATCCAACGGAGGAAGTGTTCCTTGCACTTGTTCCGGACAATAGAGCGCCTTTTCCCCGAACCTCCTCCTCCTATCAATGCACTGCTGGAAGACTTTGAGCACGTGCACGAGAAACCTATTGGCATTCAACGTAGGGATGTCAAGCACAAAAATTTGAGATCTCACTTGGCAGCCAACCGCGAAAGTCAACGATCTATCACATGCCTCCAGCAGAGCTAGAGGAACTGCACAAGCAGATTGCAAAGCTCATTCATAAGGGCTGGATTCGCCCAAGCACATCTCAGTATGGAGTGTCTGTCCTTTTTGTTCCCAGGAAATCAGGTGAACTCAGGGTCTTTATTGACTATCACGGCAGTGTTGCACACGCCGACCGTCGGCGACCCCTGACTGGTCGGCTGCCGACCCGCCGACCGGTCGGCTGGTCGGCACCCACCGGTCGGGGGTCGTTGGCACTCCGCAGTTTTTTTTTTTTTTTTTTTTTTTTTTTTTTCCAGTCCARAMCCCCTAAAAACCYCAMRAAMACCCCCATACCCACCMMRAATWCMCMCAWACASCCCGCCAAACCCACAAACCGGCCCCCAACACCCTCATAACCCCCCCCAATACCCCCTATACCACCCCTATGCCCCCCTATATCCCCCTATACACCCCACCCCCAACCCCCCCATCCCCAAAAGTTTCTCAGCGGAATCGGGCTGTACTCAGCAAGCACAGAACAGCTTCCAACTCAGATCTGAAAAAAAATTAGTGGATGGTTGTTTTCTGACTGGTCGGCAGACCGCCGACCGGTCGGCCCTACTGGTCGGCTGCAATATGGTCGGCGGTCGGGGTCGGCGGTCGGCAGGGATGCAACCATGTATCACGGGTTGAATCTGATCACTCACAAGAATGTGGAGCCTTTGCCGGACATTGATGACCTTTGGATCAGGTTGCGAGGTCGCAAATATTTCTCCAAGATTGACCTCCAATCTGGTTACCGTCACATTGAAGTTCTTTTTTTTTAAAAAACAGGTCCTTATGGCCGCGTTTCCCGGGCATAGATATGGATTGAGCGAGCTCTGGTTCAGTAGGTAGCCAGTGCGAGGCAACGAAAAAATATTGAGAGAGGAGAATAGTGTAGTGAATGCATCTGTCCCCCATATGAGGAGAAAGACAACTTTTTTCTCGTTCATATAAAAAAGAAAAGACAAAGCCCATAGTGCTGCTGCTCTTGCCCAATACTCTGTGGCTCCCCTCCCAGAGCACCCCCTTCAACTGCTCCTCTGGACTAATTTACCCACCAACTTAGGCCAATCAGAGAAAATCTGGTTCGGGATGGTACACAAGGTCAGGCTATGAGCCATATGGAAGGAGAGATGCAGCAGAGCTCTGGATGGCACGAAGAATCCACGAGAGAAAGTATGGGCAGCAACCAAAGAGATGATTGAAGCGGAAATCCTGTGTCATTGGAGAAAGGTTAAACTCTGGGTGCAGAACAATCCAGAGACAGAACAGGTGACACTTGCTAAATTCAACCGGATCTGGTTGGTAGGTGACAAAGTGGCATGGCTGAATGGGCACGTTTTACGGTGGAAAGAATGGCACAATTCGGTCAAGTTCGTATCCCAGCAGAACACCCAGGTACTTGAGGAACCAGCCCCAATCTGGGCCTAGAAGAGCATCCAAGATGCACGCGCGACAGGCGGAAGCCGATGTTTCACTTGGAACTCATGGAAAAAGATTAATCTTCTTTAGGGTTTAGAGATTAGGGCTGAGGGTTTGGACAGAAACAAGACAAGCAGGGGTTAGAATGCTAAGGATTTCACGACGCTTATTTGCGGGGCTTACGGTTTAGACGGCATTGGCAACAGTTGTAGCTTCGCAGACCTTTCTTGTTTTGCACGTTTTATCTGACAGGTTCTTATGTAGTCCTGAGAGGAAAGTGTGAGGATTGAGCCCTCATTGGGGCCTTGCCAACATGCATATGTTCTGGGCTAAGGCCCCCAGCAAGCCTCATGCCCGCCCTAAGTGAAGGCGGGCCAGAATATCCACGAGAGGCCTTTCTTTCAGCATTTCATGAAATGGGTATCAGACAGTTGCAGCATGCCAGTTGGTTGGAGTGCATCGTGAAGCCCAGACTCCTGCAGAAGCAGTTGAGCCCTGGGCACAAGCCAGGGGAGGCCGACACATCACACATTGGACGCTGGCCAACAGCGTTGTCGTCGTAGAGGCCGAGTCTGCCAATGGGAAACCGGCCCGCTATCTGAATCTGGACATCGGCCCTGGGATGATGGGCGCAACTGTAAAAGTCTGGGCCCCATCTGCATTGGGCCTGGACACAGATACCGGGGCCCAGTCGCAGGCTAGAGGGAGCCGCCGCACACGCGCCTACCACGACATATAGGCAGTCTGGGCGCAGGGGAAGGGATCTTGGCCGGTGCGGCATTGTCGGCACGCTGCTGCATTGTGTAGCGAGCGCGTGCATGCTGCGCTAGGTGGTCAATCGCGCTAGCGGGCGCAGAGGTGTGGGGGCGTTGCAGGGCAGCTAGCGCCGGCAGCCATAGCCGGGCTGCAGGGCGCAGTAAGAGGCAGGGAGGCGAAGGTGGTCTTCGGGAAGGAGGCACGAGAGTGGGGAGACGGGATAAGAGTGGGGAGCAACAGAGGTACTTACCTGGCGTGCAGAGAGGAGGTCGGCATTGGTGTTGACGTCAAGCACGCTGGTCTTCAAGTCGTCTGGTTGTGATCATGCTGTAGTTGTAGCTGTAGGGAGTAGTGTAGGTAGGGAGCCAGCGCCGTTCAGAGAGAGAGAGCTATATTGGGTTCTGTTGTTGGTGTGGCCCTACGAGCTGGGACATTGACCTCACGATTCTGCTGTATTGTTCTCATATGACTGGTTTCTTGGTTCCAATGTGCCATCTGCTTTTTGTTTGACTACTTGGACTTCAGCGTGATTTGCAATTTGGATTTCTGTGCTTCGCTCACATTCATGTTCCTTGCAAAAGGTGCAAGCAGGGCAAGCTGACAGTTAATCCTCCACGTTGTTGGAGTAATCAATGCTGATCAGGGTTCCTTCGACCAGACAGAAGGAAGCGTGAGGGTGTTCTATTGTGGCATACTGCGTAGCCACACGGGCCCTGCAGGGCCCGTCCTGGACTTTCAGCCTAAAAGCCTAAAAGTTAGGGCTTACAGGCCCCAGTCGTTTCAGCCTGGAAGCTGAAATACGAGGGCCTGCAGGCCCTATTCCGTTTCAGCCTATTTC